TGAGGGCATACTCCTTATCTCAGGAACATGCTCCTCGTCTTGAGGACATGATCCTTGAGATATGCTCCTCATCCCAGAGATGTTATCCTGGGGACGTCCTTCTCATCTCAGAGATACTGTCTTAGTGATATGCTCTTCGCCCCTGGATGTCATCTCAGGGATGTCCTCCTTATCCTGGGGACATCATCTGCAAGACATGCTGCCCACCCCAGCATCATGCTCTTCACCTTGGGGACAAGATCCTGGAGATGTGTTCTTCATCTCAGGGTTATCATCCCAGTAACATACTCCATACCCCTGGGGCACAGCTGTATGATGATATCCCTGACCTTAGGAACGTGCTCCTCACACTAGGGACATCATCTGAGGATCACCCCAGGGTCATGCTTCTCACCATGAGGTCATGATCCAGGGGATGTGCTCCTCATCTCAGGAATGTTATCCTGGATGCATCCTCCTCACTCCAAGAGATATTGTCCCAGTGATATGAATGACATGCTCTTCAGCTCTGAGATATCATCCCAGTGATGTGCTCCTTGGCCATGGACCTCCCCAGGTCCCATCTTCACGTCACCCTCCCCCTCCCTTGGCAGGAGCTGGTGCTGGAGCCAGTGGCAAAACGTACCAAGGCTGAAAATGCCCGGCATGCCAATGTGCTCAAGCAGGCCAACAACCACCACAGCACAGTGCTGAAGCAGTGGCGCTCCCTGTGCCGCCTCCTCACTTCACCTCGCTCCGCCTGGGCTGACCGGTGAGCACCCATTGTCCCCCCCCCTTGGATCCTGGGGATCACAGATGGGGGCCTGAGCTGCCTTACCCCCTCCCGCCCTCAGGAACCCACCCGAGGTTCGCTGGAAGCTGTCAAGTGCTGAGACTTACTCCAGGATGCGGCTGAAGCTGGTGCCCAACCTGAATTTTGACCAGCATTTGGAGGCCAGTGCTCTGCGGGACAACCTGGGTGAGGAACCTGGGGGCTCCTTGACCCTTTATTCCCCCTGCCACTGTGATGCTTACTGACCCCTCCTCATTTCAGGAGCTGATAACCTCCATAACCCTGCTGAGTCCCTCCCACTTGCCATGGCCAAGGAGGCTAAGGTGAGCGAGCTGGAAGACGACCAGCTGGCCGAAGAGGATCTCCCTGTTCTGGACATCCAGTGAGTGTCCCCATCCCCTTCCATTGCACTTGGTCCCCCAGGCTGGGAGTGTTCTCATGACCCTGTGTCACTCAGGGCCGAGCCCAAGGAGCAGAACCAGCGGGAGAAGCTGGTGGTCTCAGAGGACTGCGAACTCATCACAACGGTGGCTGTTGTCCCTGGCCGCCTGGAGGTGACAACCCAACATGTCTACTTCTATGATGGCAGCAGTGAAAAGGAGGAGACAGAGGGAGGTAACAATATGTGCCTGGGAGAGCTTGGGATGGGAGACTGAGGCTCAATCTCTCCCTAATCACTGGTCTTAGAAAAGTTAGAATGGGTCCTTGCTCCAGCAGTGGAATGAAGATGTCTCTATCTATCCCCTATCCCCCTTGAAGTCCATCTCCATGGATGCTGATCCTTTTGGGGTGCTTTCCTTGATGTTGGCCAGGCCCAAGCTGCTCCCTGGGGTGGTGCTGTCCCCAGTTTCTGCCTCATCCCCTGCCTGTCTCCGTGCTGTGTGGTCATTGTAGCCTGAGGTGCTCTGTGCTGTCCCTGCAGGGATTGGCTACGACTTCAAGCGCCCCTTGTCCCACCTGCGCGAGGTCCACCTGCGCCGCTACAACCTGCGCCGCTCTGCACTTGAGCTCTTCTTCATTGACCAGGCCAACTACTTCCTCAACTTCAAAAAGAAGGTGACAGCACCCCAGATCTCCCAGTCGCCAGCCAGGCACCTTCCCAGTGTATCAGGGCTATGTTAATATCCATGTGGGGACCTTGAGCTCACCAGGGCTCCTGTCTCCATTCTTGCAGGTGAGGAACAAGGTCTACTCTTGCATCCTGGGTTTACGGCCCCCCAACCAGATCTACTTTGGCAGCCGCTCACCCCAGGAGCTGCTGAAAGCCTCAGGGCTCACCCAGGTATCCGTATACTCCTGAGAGAGGACAAAGGTTTGCCCCTAGCTGGGACATCTATGGGGTTTGCTCCATCTTCTGCCCCTGCATCCACCTCTGCCATCATCTCTTTGCTCCAGAAATGGGTTTTGCGGGAGATCTCCAACTTTGAGTACCTCATGCAGCTGAATACGATTGCAGGACGCACGTACAATGACCTCTCACAGTACCCCGTGGTGAGCACTCTGCGTCCCCTCCCCAAACTTAACAGTGGCCCTGGAAGCCCCCCAGCCTGACTCACTTCCTTCCCCACCCAGTTCCCCTGGATCCTGCGGGACTACGTCTCAGAGACACTTGACCTCACCAACCCATCTGTGTTTCGGGACCTGTCCAAACCCATTGGGGTTGCCAATGAGAGGCATGCACGGGATGTGAAGGAGAAGTGAGTAGCCCCAGAAAGAAGGACCAGGGGATCAGAGCTCCTGCCCTGACACCCCTGCTTTGCCACCGCAGGTACGAGAGCTTTGAAGACCCCACAGGCACTGTGGACAAGTTTCACTACGGTACGCACTACTCGAACGCAGCGGGTGTTATGCACTACCTGATCCGTACTGAGCCCTTCACCACGCTGCACATCCAGCTTCAGAGCGGCCGGTGAGCATCCAGCAGTGGGACCCAGGGCTTGAGGCAGAGCCACTGCCACCCCCAGAGTCCCACAGATGCCCCGTGCTTCCAGGTTCGACTGCTCAGACCGGCAGTTCCACTCGGTGCCAGCAGCATGGCAAGCCCGCATGGAGAACCCTGTGGACGTCAAGGAGCTCATCCCTGAGTTCTTCTACTTCCCTGAATTTTTGGAGAACCAGAATGGTAATGGAGGGACAGGGATGGGGACAGGGATAGGATGGTTGTACCCCTGACTGCTGACTGCACTCTGCCCACAGGCTTTGATCTGGGCTGCCTGCAGATGTCCAATGAGAAGGTGAGCGATGTGGTGCTGCCACGGTGGGCACGCTCCCGTGAGGACTTCATCTACCAACACCGCAAAGCTCTGGTGAGATGCTGGAGTGGGGTCATTCTGGGGAGAAGACAGGCATTCCCAACCCCCCTGACACCCAGTGCCCACTCAGGAATCAGAGTACGTCTCAGCCCACCTCCACGAGTGGATCGATCTCATTTTTGGGTACAAACAGCGAGGCCCAGCTGCTGTGGAGGCCCTCAACGTCTTCTACTACTGCACATATGAGGGTGAGCCAGGGGGACAGGGTGGGGAGGTGTCCACTGGGTGGCCTCGTTGACACCCCCATTCCCAGGTGCTGTGGACCTGGATGCCATCGCTGATGAGACTCAGAGGAAGGCTTTGGAGGGTATCATCAGCAATTTCGGGCAGACACCCTGCCAGCTGCTCAAGGTAGCTCATTCCTTCTGAAAAACCAAAGCCCCTTTCCTCATTTGAGGAGGAGGTGCTACCCCATTTTCATGGCTCTCTCCCCCCAGGAACCCCATCCTGCCCGGATGTCGGCTGAGAGCGCAGCTCGAAGGCTCGCACGCCTGGACACCCGTCCACCCAACGTCTTCGAGAACCTGGACCAGCTCAAGTCCTTCTTTGTGGAGGTGGGGACAGGGACATGGGGTGACGGGATCACCAGTGAGGAGGGGACCCACTGACTGTGTGTTCCCTGCAGGGCATCAGCGATGGTGTGTCCCTGGTGCAAGCTGTGGTCCCCAAGAATCAGGCGCACTCCTTCATCACTCAGGGATCCCCTGATGTCCTGGTGAGCAAAGGGGAACTGGAGGAGACTGGTGTTGGGTGTCCCTGGGACGTGTCACTGTTGTCACCACCTCTGCCCAGGTTACTGTGAGTGCCAATGGCTTGCTGGGGACCCACAGCTGGCTGCCCTATGACAAGAACATTTCCAACTACTTCAGCTTCACCAAAGACCCCACCGTCTCCAATGCAAAGTGAGCCCACAAGGATATCCTCTGTCCCTGGGTTCCTTGGGTCACACAGCATCATGGGGTGCTGGTGGTGCCATTCACCTGCCTGTGTCCTTGTCACCATCCCATGTCCTTCCACTCCAGGACCCAGCGTTTTCTGCAGGGCCCCTTTGCCCCCGGTGCCGACCTGTGCTCCCGCACTCTGGCTGTGTCCCCTGATGGGAAACTGCTCTTCAGTGGGGGACACTGGGACAACAGCCTGCGTGTCACCTCGCTGGGCAAGGGGAAGGTCATTGGGCACATCACTCGGCACATAGGTACAGTATCTCCCACCACGGGTTGCCAGGGAGACCTTAGACTATGCAGGGACATCTCCCCAGACTCCATCTCTGTATCTCTCTTGGTGCCACCTGATGCTAAGGCACCTTGGCAGAGGAGCAGTAGCTCACGCTGTCTCCCTGCATGTCACAGATGTTGTTACCTGCCTGGCACTCGACCTGTGTGGCATCTACCTCATTTCTGGCTCCCGGGACACCACCTGCATGGTGTGGCAGGTCCTGCAGCAGGTAGGAAGCTGCGCCTTGTGCCAGCTCTTAGAATGAAGACAGTCACTGCTGAGAGTGTGCGGTGGCACAGCAAGGTCCTTGAGGTCCCTGTGTGCTCTCCACCAGGGCGGGTTTTCCAGCGGCTTGGCCCCCAAACCCATCCAGGTCCTGTATGGCCATGATGACGAGGTGACCTGCGTGGCCATCAGCACCGAGCTAGACATGGCTGTCTCCGGCTCCAAGGTCAGCCAGGGCAGGTGGTGTGGCTCATCTCTAGGTGTCACAGCCACCGAGCAGCACCAACCACCAGCACCACCTTGTTTCCTTTCTCCTTAGGATGGCACCATCATCATCCACACCATCCAGCGGGGGCTCTTCATGAAGTCCCTGCGGCCCCCTGGTGAGAGCTCACTGCCTGCTGCCATCACCCACCTGGCTGTGGGGCCAGAGGGGCAGATTGTCACCCAGACTGCTGTGGGTGAGCGTGCTTCCCTGAAGGTGAGGTGACACGGCAGGGCTGGTGTCCCCATGTACCCCACTCCTTCCTCTCCATTATCCCTCGTTTTGCTCTCTTTTGAAGGATAAATTCACGCTGCACCTCTACTCAGTGAATGGGAAGCACCTTGCCTCCGTCCCGCTGGACCAGGAGGTGACAGCCATGTGCATGACGGAGGAGTTTGTGGTGCTGGGGACCATGCAGTGTGGGCTGGAGATCCGTGACCTCCAGAGGTGAGGGATAGAATAATTGAATGTTAAGGCTGGAAAAGACCCCTAAGATGACCAAGTTCAACCATCAGCCCATCACCACCGTGCCCACTGAACTGTGTCGCTCAACGTGACATCTGATGTCATTGTGCCCGTCCGCTGACACCCCCTTAATATTCCCATTAGTTCCAATCCTCCACGTCTTCTCTTCTTTGCAGTCTCCAGGCAGCAGTGCACCCTGTGCCCATGCGAGTGCCCATCCACAGTGTGTCAGTGACCAAGGAGAAGAGCCACATCCTTGTGGGGCTAGAGGATGGCAAGCTGATTGTGGTGGGTGCCGGGCAACCTGCAGAGGTGAGCACAGCCATAAGGATTGGGGAGTCAAGGCAGGAGGTGGAGGGGGGTCACAGAGGTGCATCCCCTGTGCTCAGCTGGACAGAGGAGCTCTGCTTATCCTCCTTGTACCCAGAGCAGAGAGGGATGGGGATGGTGATGGTGATGGTGATGGGGTAGGGTATGATTGGACTGGGTTGGAATGGGGTGGGTTGAAATTGGGCAGGATGGGATGGGATAGAATGGACGGGTTTGGTTGGGATGAGATGGGGCAGAAGGGATAGTTTGGGATGGTTTGGGGTGGAGTGGGACAGAATGTGTTTATTGGGTGAGGGGACTGTTGGGTTGGGCCAAAATGGATGGGTTGGGTTGGGTCAGAATGGTTGGGATGGGATGGGGCATGACAGTGGATGAGTTAGATTGGTACAGGATGGGTTGGGTTGGGACAGAACGGATGGATTGAATTGGGGTAGGACAGACAAGATGGATGGGACAGGATGGCTGGGATGGGGATGGGAAAGAGGATCCACCCAAGGGTAGGATATGGGGTATTTGGGTAGAAGTGGGAGAAGAGAGGGGAGTTGTGGGTGGGGTTGAGGAAAGAATTGGGGTTAGGGATGGGGATGCAGATCAGGAAATGGATGCAGAAGATGGAGGAAGAACTGGAGTGGGAACTTAGAATGGGGTGACGGGGGGGGTGAGGATGAATTTGGAGTTGCGGAAGAAATTGGAGATGAAGATGGGGATGGAGTTGGAGATGTGAAAGGCGATGAGGATGGGCTTAGAGCTATGGAAGAGGATGGGGATGGAGATATGGAAGGGAATGGAGATGAGCTGTGGGGAAATTGCTGACCTCCTCATCCCCTAGGTGCGCCCGGGCCAGTTCCACCGGCGGCTCTGGCGTTCCACCCGCCGCATCTCCCAGGTCTCAGCTGGTGAAACAGAGTACAACCCCACCGAGGGCAAGTCCTAGGCTGGCACCCCACACCTGGCCCCGATGGCCTTCCTACAGCACCCGGCCCCTCCTGGGGGGCACGGCATGAAGGGGGACACCGATCCTCCTGCAGCAGCGCCCCGAGCCCCTTGCGAGCCGGGGGGTGAGGATAAGGAGGGTTGAGCCCCACGAGGGCTGCATGCTCGGCCCCATGCCGTGGCCTTATCCAGCCCCATTGGGATGGGGGCAACAGCACGGACACGGGGGGAGGAGGTGCTGGGGGGGGACCCTTGCTGGGAAGGGGGTACCACATCCTCCCCTCACGCCCGCTGGCCAGGAGCCGGCTGCATCCCCCCATCCCCCCCCAAAGTGTTTTTTCTATCGATTTCTAGCTCTTTTACAAAAAAAAAAAAAGAAAGAAAGAAAAAGAATAATATATCTGTCTATAAGAAATAAATGTGCACAAGGCTTTTGTCTGCCCCGCGCTGTCTCTGTTAGGGACATTTCCCCCCCCCCATGCTGTGTTTTTGGGATGTGGTGAGGGCATGGGGCCCTTCTTTTCTTCCTGCCCTACATAGCAAGGCTGGCCTGGCACTGGCTGTGCTCCGGGCGGGGGGCCAGTGGCCCCATGTCCCTGCAGGCTGTCTGTGCTGTCCCCAGCCTGCCTGGCACACGGGTGCACGTGGCAGCCACCTCCTGTCCCATGTCACAAGCGTGGGGGTCTCAGCTGTGTCCCCACCTATCACAGGCATGGGAGGTCTCAGCCTGGTCCACATATGTCACCATCATGAGGTCTCAGCAGCTGTGTCCCCTGGTGTAATGAGTGCAGGGGGTCTCAGCTATATCCCCTCTTGTCGTGAGTGTTGAGAGGGGTCTCATCTGTGTCCCTGTGTCACTGGTGTAGCAATCTCCCTTGTGTCCCTGCTTGTAACGAGTGGAGGGGATCTCAGTTGTGTCCCCACATGTCACGAGTGTGATGGATCTCAATCCCCACGTGTCGTGACGAGCTCAGCAGCCAGATCACTGCATGTCGCCATCACAGGGATCTCCGCAGCATTGCCCCCACTTGTGTCATGAGCGTAGGGGGCTCAGCAGTATTGTTCCCACATGTTAGGAGTATAATGGATCTCAGCCACATGTTACAAGCATGCAGGTCTCAACTGCGTCCCCACGTGTGACCAGCACAGGGGTCTCAGCAGCAAGGTCCCCAAATGTCACAAATGCGCAGGGTCTCTGTGACCACAAATCCCTTCCCCACCTCCTTGCTGGCATTCTATCCCCAAGCACTGTCAGCGCCCGTGTCCTCCCCTGCCCCTGCCATTGCCGGGGCCCCACGGTTGGCAGCGACCTCTGTCCCTGGGCAGGGCTGGCCGCGGGTGCCCACGGCATCACGTGGAGCTGCACCAGCACAGCCACGGCCAGAGGCCGCCGGAGCCGCGCCGAGAGCAGCCACGGCACTGAGGTACGGACAGATGGACGGGAGGGCTTGGGGTGCTGCTGGGATGGCCTTGGTGGGAGCCTGTGGGGAAACTGAGGCACGGGGCACTCCTTGAGGGGCATCAACCTCTGCCACTACTCCTGCAGGGACAGGGAGAACCCCATCGCAGTGCCAGGTGGCACTGTCTCTGTGTCCCTGACCCCAGGTCCTGGGCCCGGCTGTCCCACTGTCCCAGTCCTATAGGTCCTGGTCCCATAGGTCTATGTTCCGGGTGTCCAACTCCCAGACACTCCTGTTCGTTGTGTCCCTATCCCAGATTTCCCTGTCCCAGATGTCCCCCGTGTCCCTGTTCCTATTATCTTAGGTATTCCTGTCCCAGGTGCCCCTCTAACCTCTAGATGTCCCTGTCCCAACTCTCCCTGTCCCCAGGTGTCTCTGTTCCAAGTGTCCCAACTGTGCCTGTCTCCTTGTGTCTCAGTCCCAGGTGTCCCTGTCCCCAGGTGTCACAGACTCAAGTGTCCCTGTCCCAGATGACTGAGGTGTTCCATGTGTCCTGGCATCAGAAATCCCAGTCCCAGGTGTCCCTGTCTGCAAGTGTCCCTGTTTCCAATGTCCCAGCTGTTCCTGTCTCCAGGTGTCCCTGACCCAGGTGACCCAGGTGTCTCTGTTCCCTTATATCCCCATTCCTGGTGTCCTTGTTCCAGGTGTGCTGTCCCTAGGTATCCCTGTTCCTAATCCCAGCTGTTGCTGTCCCCAGGTATCCTAGACCCAAGTGCCCCTGACCCAGATGTTCCTACTCCTGTTATCCCATGTGTCCTCATCCCACATATCCTGACCCAGGTGTTCCAGTCCCATGTGTCCCTACTCCCAGTATCCCACATGTTCTTGTCTCAGGTGCCCTATCACCCAGAGTCCTCATTCCCAACCTTCCAGGTCACCCAGGTGTTCCAGGTGTCCCAGCATCAGGAGTCCCTATGCCCCAGCATCCCAGGTTTCCCACAACGTCCCAAGTGTCCCTGACCCAGGTGTTCCAGGTGTCCCAACATCACATCCCTATCCCTCATTGTCCCTGTTCTCAGTCTTCCAGGTGTCCCTGTCCCTGGGTGTCCCAGTGCCACAGCTGTTCTTATCTCCTAGTATCCCAGATCCAGGTGTCCTGACCCAGGTAATACAGATGCTCCAGCTGTCCTTATCCCAAATATCCCTGCTCCAAGACTGCCAACTCTCTCACCCATCCCACCTGGACCTCCCAGCACTCCCCTCCCCACTCCCTCAGCTTGCAAGTCGAGAGAGGTGACCAGCCACCCCGGAACGCCCTCAAAAAGTCTCTCCAGAAGAGTGGCCATGTGGTTGGGTGCCCACCTGGACACGCTGCCCACCCCAGCACTGACCATCGACCGCACCACGGCGCGTCGCAACGCTGAGCGCATGCGGGAGCACTGCCGGACCCTGGGCGTCCGCCTGCGACCCCACGTCAAGACCCACAAGACGCTGTGAGTGCCACCCACACCCTTTGTCCCCAGTGTCCCCAACATCCCCGTTATCCCCATCGTTCCCATCATTATCCCCTCGTCCCATGGATGGTGCCTAAAGGGAAGGCGGTTTGTTGGCCACCGGCGGCACACGGCGCGGCATCGCCGTCTCCACCTTGGCCGAAGCGCGGTTCTTTGCGGATGGTGGCTTTGATGACATCCTGCTGGCCTACCCCTTGCCCACCGCACGGCTGGAGGAGTGTGCAGGGCTGGCACAGCGCCTCGAAGCCTTCCACGTGCTGCTGGATCGCCCCGAGGCGCTGGCCAGCCTGCGGCAGCGGCCACTGGCCCATGGCAAACGCTGGCTCGTCTGGCTGAAGCTCGACTGCGGCAACGGCAGAGGTGGGGATGACGACTGGGGATCGGGTGGGGCGTCTCCAAGGCCCTGGTTCCTGTGGGTTGGGGAGGATGGGATGGGTCAGTGTCTCCGAAACATCTTTCTCACCATTCACTGCAAGATGCTCCATGAGGAGATGGCCCACGTTCCCCCAAAGCCCCAGCAGCTCAAGCCAACGTGTGTCTATTAATCCCAAAAAAACCTTTTCATCCACCCCAAGGATCTTCCATGGAGAGATGTTCTGTGTGTCCTCAAAGCACCCAGCCCTCGTAACACCATGTGTCCATGAATCCCAGAAGCCCCCTTTGCGCCCACTCCAAGGCTGTTTCATGGAATGATGGTCCACGTATCTCCAAAGCTTCCTCTAGCACAAGTTACTTATGGGTCCATCAGCCCCAAAAGCCTTATTAATTTACCCAGCCACCCCAAGGATGGTCAGTGAGGAAGGGAAGTCCCTTGTGCCCCCAAAACTCCCAGCTCCAGCTTACCAATATGGGGCCATGAGTCTCAAAATCCTCACTTACACTCAACCACCCCAAGGGTGGATGGTCAGTGGGAGAGGGATGTTCCCAAAGCCCACAGCAGCTCGAGCCAACATGGGTCTAATAATCCCAAAAAGCTTTTTTCATCCACCCCAAGGATGCTCCGTGGAGAGAGATGTCCCATGTGTCCCCAGAGCTTGCAGGTTTAGGGTTAGGCATTAGGATTAGGCTTAGTGTCAGGGTTATGGATTAGGGATAGGTTGAGAGTTAGGCATTAGAATTACTGTTAGGGTTATGGTTAGGGCTAGTATTAGGATATAGGCTCCACATTTACATTCCATGTGGGAAGGACATCCCCAACCCTCCCCATCACAGAACCCCCAATCCCACCCACCCCATAGCAGCATCCCACTCCCATCCTCACATCCCCATGACCCTGTTTCCTTGCTGGCAGCTGGTGTACGCCCAATGGACCCCGCTGCCCTGGAGCTGGCCCGGGCCATCGCCAACGATGCACCCGAGGAGGTGACACTGGTTGGGGTCTATGCACACTGTGGGAACACCTATGGCTGCAGTGGGGCAGACGCCATCCAGGCCATCGCCAGGACCACCACCAACGCTGTCCTCGGCTTTGTGGCTGCGTGAGTGTGTGCCCCAATAGGGACCCCATTGCACACACCACCCGACCCCAAATCTGGCTAGAATTACGGGGAATTTTTATAGGGGCTGAGCCCTTTGCTCTGTCCATTCCATAAAATCCCCAACCCCAATGTGCTGGTTGTAAATGCAAATCGTCCTCTTCCTGCCGGCCCCATAAAGCTCGGCCCCACAAAGCCCTGAGCCCCAGGGGGCCGAAGGGGATGGCCCCAAACCCCTTTGATGTGTCCCGGCCCCAGTCTGCCCACCTCCCTTTTGTCCCCTGGGGAAGGGTTGAGTGGAGTTTCACATCCCGGAGTGAATTGCAGACGGATGTTTCTCCCTTCCCTTGAGGTCAGTGGGATCTCCAGGTGCACGGGGACATTCTCCAGCTCAAAATACCCCAAACATTCAAGGGGTTCAAGGCCAGCAGTGCAAGGTTCCCCTTATGAACCCCCATTTTTCAAGATCTGGGACACATTCCCCTCAACCCAGCGTCAGAATGTACTATGCCTGACACATGTGGGGTGCATGTGGGGGGGGATGAACCCAAGAGAGAGACCTCAGGCACAACATGGGGGCTCCCTGCACATTGGGATTTGGTTCTTGCACATCTGAAAAGATGCTGGGCATATTAGAGTGTGTGCTCTGGCACATCTTGGGGTGGTGATTGACCTTATCTGGGTGTCCCTTTTAACAGTCACCTCTAGGGGGGCGGGGGGGGAGGGGGGTGAACATCACATCTGGATGGCAATGGCACATCTGGATTATCCCTTGGCACAATTTTGGTTGGGAGGGAACTTCTTCCACATCAGGATGGTGCCTTGGCACATTTCATGGGGGAACCTCTTCCACATCTGGTTGGTGACTGCACGTCTGGGTGGGCCCCAGCACATTTTGGGGGGAGGGTGTTAACTTTCCTACATCTGGACAGCTCTGGCACCACACCTGGACAGTCCCTTTCCACACCTGGGTGAGACCCAGACCCCCTTGTGGTGTCATTCCATAGTGCTGGGGATACATTTGGCCCCACTCGATGGCACGGCAGTGGTGACACCCAATGGGTGACCTTCCTCCTTCCCCTCCCCCCCAGGCTGCGTCAGGCCGGTGTTCCCTGTCCCCACGCCAGCATCGGCTCCACTCCCTCCTGCAGCCACCCCATTCCTGAGATGTCCCAACTCACCGAGCTGCACCCGGGCAACTACATCTTCTACGGTGAGTGCTGACAGCACCCCACTGCCCCACCGTGTCCCAGCACGTCCCCAACCCCACGGCTCTCTGCAGACCTCCAGCAAACACAGCTGGGCTCCTGCCAGCCCCAGGACGTGGCCATCCGTGTCCTCACGAGGGTTATTGGGCACTACGCACACCGAGGGCAGCTGCTGGTGGATTGTGGCTGGACAGCACTCAGCCTGCACGGGGCAGGAGCAGGACGGGGCCCCCAAGGCTGTGCTGCCATCGATGGGCACCCCGAGCTGCGGTGAGTGATGGGGTCAGGGATGGGGTTGGGATGGTGGTCCAGGGACATGACGGTGTGACCTCGCAGGTTGGTGGGGCTGACGCAGGAGCACGGGCTGTTGGAGCATGCTGATGGACGGATGGATTTTGGGAAGTTCCCTGTGGGCAGCGTGCTGGCGCTCATCCCATACCACGTGAGTGCTGTCCCCCATCCCCTTGTCCCCATTGTCACCCCATGTGTCACCCTACTCTCCCCTGCAGGCGTGTGCTACGGCGGCCATGCACCCTGTGTACTACGTGCATGAGGAGGGACAGGTGGTGGCCCTATGGCACCCCGTGCGTGGCTGGTAGGGCCCCAACCCACTGCCCATAATGAGGTCCTGCACCCACAATGAGGTCCTATAGCCATAACGAGGTTCTGTGCCCACTATGACATCCTACACCTACACCAAGATCCTGCAGTCACACCGAGATCTTGCAACCCTGCTGAGATCCTCATGGCCATCACGAGATCCTGCGACCACACTGAGATCCTGCAGCCATGCTGACATCCTATGGGCATCATGAGGTTGTGGAGCCATAAGGAGACCCTATACCCATGATGAGATCCTATACCCATGATGAGACCCTATACCCATGAGTAGACCCTACACCCATGATGAGACCCTATACCCATGATGAGATCCTATACCCATGAGTAGACCCTATACCCATGAGTAGACCCTATACCCATGATGAGACCCTACACCATGATGAGACCCTATACCCATGATGAGATCCTACACCCATGAGGAGACCCTACACCCATGATGAGATCCTACATCCATGAGGAGACCCTATACTCATGATGAGATCCTACCCATGAGGAGATCCTACGCCCATGAGGAGACCCTACACCCATGATGAGACCCTATACCCATGAGGAGACCCTACACCCATGAGGAGACCTTACACCCATGATGAGATCCTACACCCATGATGAGATCCTACACTCACATCAAGATAATGAAACCATACTGAGATCCTCCGGCCCTGATCATGTCCTGCATCCATGCTGAGATCCTGTGCCCATCCTAAAGTCCTACACTGACACCAAGATCCTGCACACACCTACACCAAGATCATGGAATCATAGAATGGTTGGGGTTGGAAGGGACCCAAAGGATCATGGCCACAAGCAGGGCCACCAACCTCCATACCCAGTGCTAAACCAGGCTGCCCAGGGCCCCATCCAACCTGGCCTTGAACACCTTCATGGATCCAGCCTCTCTGGACAGCTTGTTCCAGCACCCATGTTGAGGTCCTACACCCACACTGAGATCCTATACCCATAACAATGTCCTGCATCCACGCTGAGATCCTATATGCATCCTAAGATCCCACACCCAAGACCCTGTACTCACGCTGAGATCCCACACCCACGCTGAGATTCTACAATCATGCTGAGATCCCATATTTGTGCTGAGATTCTGCACCCACTTCCTCAGGAGGGGTCAATAAAGTCGCTTTTCCCATTTCTTGGCACTTTGTGTTCTTTGGGGACTTTCTGGGGCACAATGAAGGCCGTGAGGACAGCACCCTACTTGTCACCCTATAACTGCCCCATTGAAATCACCCGACCCGGGAGGCTCAGATGTGGGGCAGGGTGGGTTGTGGAGATGGTGATGGGAGTATGGGGGGAATGGGGATGCTCCATGGGGTCCTGGGAGAACAGTAGGGTTGAAGTGGGACATGCAGAGGCCACACGACCCTACAGGACCTGGGCTGAAGTTGAGGGGGAATTGGGTGAGCTGGGATGAATCCAGCTGAATGGGGCTGAACTGGGATGGATTAAGCTGAATTGGGCTGAATGGGGCTGAATTGAGCTGAACCAGGATGAGCTGGGCTGAGCTGGGCTGAATGGGGCTGAACAGGGCAGGACACACATTCAGAACCATCTGAACTGGGCTGGACCTGAGCTAAACAAGGCTGAACTGAGTTCAAACAGTCCAAAATGCTCCGGACCAAACCGAGCCCACTGGGGTCCGAACCAACCCAACCCATTCCTGCCTCCGCCGTACCGAACCCCGTCCCGAACCGCTCCGGGCCGAGCCGAGCCGAGCCGAGCGGCGATGGGCGTGGCATCCCTTAGCCCCGCCCACACCGCTCAGCCAATGGCGTGGCGCCGCGCCCCTGCCTGCGGGGCCGCGCCGAGCCGAGCCGAGCCGGGCCGAGCGGAGCGGAGACGAGACCGGGCGGAACCGAGCGGAGCCGAACCGCGCCGAGCCGAGCCGAACCGAGCCGAACCGAGCTGAGCAGCGCCCTGTGGGGGCCCGGCCCCGCCATGCGGTGGGGCTGCGCGGCGCTGCGCCTATCGCGGGCGCTGTGCCTGCTGCTATCCGCGCCGCTCTGCCCGCAGGTCCGCTCTTTTTTTCTCTTCTCTCGTGGCGTTATTCCGCTTGCTTTCTCTCTGCTCTATTTAAGTTTGTTTTACTATCCGTCTTCTTCCCTTTTCCTCGCTTTACTTTGTCGCATTTTACTTTCTTTCGCCCCGTGTTGCTCTGCTTCCCTGCACATCGCTGCGCCTTCTTCGTTTTGCTGCTTTACTTCGTCTCGTTTTACTTTACTGTAAAATTTGCTTTTTTCCCCCCTTTTTTTACCTCATTTTACTGCACTTATTCTTAATCTTCACCTTTCTTTACAGCATTTTAATTTATTTCTACTTATTTTGCTGCATCTTGCTTCATTTTTTCTTATTTCACAGTATTTTACTGCTTTTTACTTCATCTTATTTTACTTCACTTTTTTTTACTGCATTTTGCTTTAATTTTCCTTTAATTTCCTTAATTTTCCTTTATTCCCCTTCATACTCGACTTCATTTTCCTTCATTCATTTTCCTCATTATTTTCCTTTATTATTTTCCTCTATTAATTTCCTCTGTTGTGTTTTTACATCATTTAACTTTCGTTCAACTTAACTCCGTTTTGCCACACTTTGCCTTATTTTGCCTTATTTTGCTCTGTTTCCCTGCATTATTTCCCTGCATGTTTCCCCCCCCTCCCCCTCTCCATGCATGGGACATCCTCCCCTCCCTCCCCCCCCACCCCATCTGGCTGCAAGCTGAGGGCCAGGGGCACCGTGTGGGACCCACATGGGACTGGGACCCCCCCGACCCCCCCTCAGCTCAGCCCCACTCAGGATACGGCCCCACACAACCCTAGTGGGGCCAACTGGGGGCTTTGTTTGTGGGGAGGGGTAATCTGAGCAGCCCCAAAGTGGGAGGGGGATTCTTTGGTGGGGGGGACGGATGGGAGAGTTTGTGGGTGTTGAGTGGGGATGCAGTTAAGGTGGTGGGAAGGGCAGAGTTTAGGGGATATGGGGCAGAGTTAAGGGGATGTGGTGGGCAGAGTAAAGGGAATGGGATGGAGGAGAGTTAAAGGGATGCGATAGGGCAGAGTGAAGAGGATGGGATGGGCAGAGTTAAGGGGATGGGCCAGGATTGATAGGATGGAGAGAGTTAAGGGAGTGGGACAGGGCAGAGTTAAGGGGATGAGATGGGAGAGAGTTAAAGGGATGCAGTGGGGCAGAGTTAAGGGGATGGGATGGGCAGAATTAAGGGGATGCGATGAGGGGAGTTAAGGAGATGGTATGGGGGAGAGTTAAAGGGATGTGATAGGGCAGAGTGAAGGAGAAAGGATGGGCAGAGTTAAGGGGAAAGGATGGGCAGAGTGAAGGAGAAAGGATGGGCAGAGTTAAGGGGATGGGCCAGAGTTGATGGGATGGACAGAGTTAAGGGGATGAGATGGGGAGAGTAAGAGTGATGGGGTGGGGTAGAGTTAAGGGGAAAGGATGGGCAGAATTAAGGGGTTGGGATGGGCAGAGTTAAGGGGTTGGGATGGGCAGAGTTAAGGGGTTGGGATGGGCAGAATTATGGGGTTGGGATGGGCAGAGTTAAGGGGATGGGATGGGCAGAGTTAAGGGGATGGGATGGGCAGTGAAGTGGACATGGTGCTGTCGGTTCAGGGAAGCTGTGGCTGTTGCAGGACACCCCACATGACTCCCCCCATGTCTCTGGGCAGGTGTCAGCCCGCAGCCCGCCGTGCCCCAGCGGTGCCTGCACTCAGTCCGGCGAGTGCTGCTCCTCCTGCCCTCCAGGCTTTGGGGCGGTCGTGCCCTGCAGCCTCACCGACACCCAGTGTGAGCCCTGCGCCCAGAGTGAGTGCAACCCCGGAGCCCCACGCCATCCCCTATTGCCACCCCGTGTGCCCACAGACCACACCTTCTTGGCGTCGAGCCGTGCCAGCCCTGCAGGCTGTGCCAGGGGGGTTTATGGGGCTGTGCAGCGGGACGCCGAGTGCCAGCCTTGTCCCCAGGGCTCCATCTCAGAGTTGCACAGCACCCAGCTGCCCTGCCTGCCCTGCCAGCCTGGCTGTGAGCCTGGCCAAGTGATGCACCGTGCGTGCAGCCGCCTCTCCAACACACTCTACATGAGTGAGTCCCTATGGGACGCTGTGGGGCTGTGCCTCAGTTTCCCCATCTGTAGCACTGAGGCATGCTCCTCACTCTTAGGGTCTACAGCAGAGAAAATTGGAGGTGCAGGGTGCCACGGAGTGATCCCAAAGCTCCCCTTATCCCCACACCCCATACTTTGAGCTTCCCAAATCACTAAGGTTGGGAAAGGTCTCTTAAGACCCCCGAGTCCAACCCCAGCCCACCTCCACATCCCTCAGTGCCACATCTCCACTGTTCTGGAATACCTCCAGGGGTGGTGACCCCCCCCCTCCCCATAATCCTGGGCAGCCTGTTCCTGTACGTTCCCACTCTTTCGGAGCTCTGAGCCCCCCTCAGAGCCCCCCACCACCCACATTCCCCCCTCCCCACCACCGCCAGCTGCTGCCCCACGGCTGTCATCACGCCCCGCATGCAGCAGATGCTCCCGGCGCTGCCGGCATTGGGGCTTTGATGTGGTTGGGAAGGGATGGGGGAGGTTTGATGGGAAGGGGCACCTCTCCCTTTAACCCCATAGCACTGGATCTGATTTCCTCCCATCCCAAAACCTACCCTGGTCCCACCTGTGGGTGCCATTTTGGGTACCCCCACCCCATTCCAAGGGGAAACCGAGGCAGCGGCATCAGTGGGGGCATGAAGGGTTTCCTAATCCCTCATCCCCACAGAGAAGGACCAGCATATCCCAGAACAGACCGAAGGAAACCCCCCTAAAGAGAACAGCACAGGCCCCACCGCCTCAGCCACCTCCACCTCCACGTTCGTCCCTCCCCTCCCTGAAGACGTGGGGCAGAACATCATCCCCGTGTACTGCTCCCTCCTGGCTGCTGTGGTGGTGGGTCTCCTCGCCTACGTGGCTTTCAAGTGGTAGGTTTGGGCTTTCTTGGGCGGGGGGTGGAATTGGGGGTGAGGGGACGGTGGGTGACGCGGCGCAGCTGGCACACGTGCAGGCAGAAGCAGCAGCTGGCCAAGGCACGAGCAGCAGAGCTGGGGACGGCGGCCGAGGGCGAGAAGCTGCACAGTGACAGCGGGGTCTTCCTGGATACACACAGCCTGCAGGAGCCACACCAGATCGGCAAGGGTGAGCAACACCCATAGCTGGGGGGGGGGAGGAGGGAGGTGGGCTGTCCTGTCATTTCTTTGGCTGTGGTGGGATGGGGTAAAGGAGCACCCCGTGTCTGGAGGCATCTAAGGGAGATGGAGGTCTTGGGGAGGGATTGGTTTGGGGCAAATCGGGTTGGGAAGCAGCCGTACCTTTGAGATCATGCAGGTGGGGTTGGGAAGCACCTCATCCTTGGGGATAATGCAAATAGGGCTGGGGAGCACCCATACCTTGGGGATCATCTATTGGGACTGGGGAGCACCCATGTATTGGGGTTCATCCCAATAGGGCTGGGGAACAGCCATGCATTAGGGATGAGATTGAGGGCCAGGCAGTGCTTGGGGGTGATCTAATGGGGTTGGGGAGCACCTAAACCTCTGGGGATAATCCTGATGGGTTTGAGGAGCACCCACACAATGGGGATATCATCTATTGGGTGGGGTTGGGGAGCACACATTCCTTGGGGATTGTCTGGATGGGGTTGGGGAACGCATAGTATTCGGAGATGATCTAGGTGAGGTGGGGGAGCACCCATACCTCAGGATCATGTCCATAGGTGTGGGGAACACCCATACTTTAAGGATGATCTGGATGGGGTTGAGGAGCACCCATAGCTTGTGGATCATCTCGATGAGGCTGGGGAGCACCTAATCGTTGTGAATGATCTGGATGGGGCTGGGGAGCACCTGTAGTTTGGAGAGCACCCAGATGGGGTTGGGAGCACCCAGATGGGATTTGGGTATGCCTATACCTCAAGGAGCATCCGAATGGGATGAGGGTGAACAGAAGAACACCCCAGATAGGGTTGGGAGCACTCATGCAGGGAGCAGGAGATGCCACAGGAGCGGCAACACCGGGGTGCCGGCGGGGTCACCAGCGCAAGTTTTGATGCGTCAACGCTGACCCCAAACCCACAGCACCCCGTCTGGAAACCCGACCCTACAGCTCAGTCCCACAGCAGCAACGGGAGGAGGTGGAACGGCTGCTGGAGAGCGGAGGTCCCAGCGGGGACTGGCGTGGGCTGGCCGCCCGCCTGGGCTACGGGGATGAGGCCATCGGCACCTTCGCCCGCGGCCAGGCGCCCGCCCGCACCCTGCTCGCCACTTGGGCAGCCACAGAAGGGGCCACAGTGGAAGCCCTGTGCCTGGCCTTGGCTGCTATGGGACGGCAGGACGTGGCCGAGTGCCTGGCGGGGCCGGGAGATGCCAGCTCAATGGTGTGAGCCCATCCAGGGGGCTCCTGGTGGCCCTGTGGGGTGAGGAGGAGGAGGAGGCGGATGGGACGCGGGGATGTGTGGTGCCTTTGGATGGGTGAGCCCTTGGCCACCAGCAGCTTTGTTCTGCCATATACTCTGTTGTTGTTGTTTTTTTTTTTTAAGTCGTTTTTGTACTTTAGGGGGGTGGGGGAAATGTCCTTTTTGTACTTTGGGGTCCCAGCGTGGGTTCGGGATGGTGCGTGCCTGTTGCCCGTGGTCTTTGCATTAAACAGCCAACGTGCCTTTGTGTCACTGGTTTGTCACACCCGCTCCATCCCACGTTTCCCACTCCCTTCGTGGGCCTTCCTTTGGGGTCAGCCCACAGCAGCGCACAGGGACAGAAATGAGCACTTTCAGCCCCCAGGTGCCCCCATGCTGCCAGCAAAACCCCATTCCCTTCATCCTGAGGGCAAAGCCAACACATTATGGGGATCCCCATCCTAAATGACAACAAAGGGCTGCTGAGGATCATGGAGTTGGAAGGGTCCCATCAGGACCATCCACTCCAACTCATGGCTCCACACAGCACCACCCAAAACCCAAACCCATCCAGCTCCATACCGTGCCCCAGCAGTGCCATCCATAGGTCCGTCCCCACCACCGTCCTCTTCCAGGTCAGACACAGCATTGATTTCATTTTATTTTATTTTTTTTAAATTTTTTTTACATAAAAAGTTCAGTAAAAATTGGATAAAGTAAAATGATTTAAGCAGTAAAATCAATCTTATCAACATAGCACAAGGCTGCCAGAAATCCAGGGGCAGCCCGTTCCGGAATATTTACATGATAACAGATTAAACCTCGCAGAACAAAAACAAGAAAACAAACAAACAAAAGAAAAACCCCCAAAACTATCCTTACAAAGTGTTCCCGTGATAACAGCACGTGTTGGGCTAAAAGCAAAAAGGAAAACAAAACAAACGAACAAACGAACCAACAAAAAAAAAAAAAAAAAAAATTATCAATATATTCACATATAGGTTAAAATATAATACACATCTCCGTGGTGGGTGGGCACTGCCATGGTGGGGCTGAACGGGGCCCCACACCACAGCACCTCCATCTGAGGGCAATGGGAGCGCCAGGGGGCGGTCGGGGTCGAGGCGGTCACTCCAAGTCCGTGTCCTCTTTGGGTTTGTAGATGGCCCCGAATTTCTGCATGTATTTCTTTATGTACTCCTTCGTTTTGTGTTTCACATTCTCGTTGCACTCCAGGTCCTCCGGGTTCTTGCAGTACTTCAGCTCCTTGTTCATGACGCCGTGCGTCAGCTGGGCAACAGAGGGGTTGGTAAGAGAGCGCAGAACCAAAGGATCACACGATCGTTAAGGTTGGGAAAGACCTCTCACATCCCCAAGTCCAACCCACCCCTCCATGCCCACTGACCACATCCTCAGTGCCACACCTCCACAGTTCTGGAACACCTCCAGGATGGTGACCCCACCACTCCCTGGGCAGTCTTTGCCACTGCATCACCACTCTTTTGGAGAAGAAATTTCTCCTAAAACGCAACCTGAACCTCCCTTGGCACAACTCGAGGCCATCACCTCTCATCCCAAGCACCGCTTTCTCTGGTATTCCTATTAAACTTCCCTCTTGGAAACCATCCCTACCTCCCTCCCCTGGTCCTCAACGACTGCAGAACCCCACTGCCATCCCATAACCCACGGGGTGCCCTCACCTTCCGTGCCAGGTGCTTGAAGTCCTCAGTGGTGGTGATCCGGCCGACCTTGCAGTCAGGTTTGCGATAGGGGTTGAGGCACTGCACGATGAACTGAGACATCTGTAGGAGAGGCACAGAGGTCAGCCCCAGCCGTGCCCAGCCTCGTCGTGTTGGGGCTCAGGGTTGCTCAGGGATAACTCACCTCTTTCCTGAAGACTTCCTTGCTTTTCTTGGCAAGCTCGCTCGACGTGTCTGCTTCCGCAGTCTTGGGTTTTTTGGAAGACTGGAAGGAGGGAGGGAGGGGAGATAAAACGATAGGAAGAGAAAATTGGAATTAATTAAGCACTTCTGCTGTGTCAGCTCTGGATTTAGAGAAGCGTGAGAGCGAGGAGGGCACACCTCACCCCAACCACCTCCTTCCCCATGGCGGACATCACAGCAATGCCCCACCTCCACCCCGGGGGATGCCATCCCCTGACTCCAACAGAAACACAGCAGCCAAAAAGTGTGACTTCAGCAGCACCTGTGTGCCCAAAGGAAGGTTTTACCAGCAAGAATGTGCCCACAGAGCCACACACGCACCCGCTACCAAGCTGCCCAAAGAGCCCACCCTGCATGTCATCACTGCTGCCATCTCTTGCCTCTTTCCTGCATTCCAACAGCAATCCCTGCCAGCACGCACTGAGAGGTACAGGTGTGCTGCCCACCTTCCCAAATCCACCTTCCCCAGTCTGCCTCCCTAAATTCACTTCCTCAAATCCACGTTTCCAAATCTGTCTCCCCAAACCCACCTTCCCAAATCTTCCTCAATTCTCCTCCCCAAATCTGCCTCCACAAATCCACTGCTCCAAAAGCAGCTCCCCCAAATCCACCTCTCTCAACCTACCTCCCCAAATCCACCTCCTGACATCTGCCACCCTAAATCCACTTCTCCAAATCCATCTCCTCAGATCCAGTTCTCCAAATGCAGAATCCCAAACTCGCCTTCCCAAATCCACCTCCCTAAATCCGCCTCCTTAAATTCACTTATTCAAATCCACGTTCCCAATTCTGCCTCTCCAAATCCACCTCTCTAAATCTGCCTCCCCGTATCTGCCTCTACATATCCACTCCTTCAAATCCATCTCCCCAAATCTGCCTCCACAAATCCACTTCTCCAAATGCAGAACCCGAAACCCAACTTCCCAAATCCACCTCCCCAAATCTGCATCCCCAGACCCACCTTCCCAAATTAAACTCTCTCAATTTGCCTCCCCACATCTGCCTCCACATATCCACTCCTTCAAATCCATCTTCCCAAATCTGCCTCTTTAAATCCACCTCTCTACATCCGCCTCCCAAAAACTCTCTCTCTAAATCCCCCTCCCCTGCCCCCCTTCTCAAACCCAGCCCCTCCATGCCAGAATGAACCCAACAGGAGGAGCAGGGCTGCGCTGCCCAACTCTCACCCTATTGTTTTCTTTGGGAAAAAACAGAATGGCCAGAGCTGGTTCTGGGGCTGCTTTGGGGAGGGAGGGGCCGAGCGCTGCGGTCGGCACTATGAGTGCTGAAATATGTTTAGCTGGAGGCGAGGGGGAGGAAAGCAGAGCTTCCCCCCTCTCTGTTTATTTCATGCCTGTGAAAGCCTAATTATGATCCATTGGCTTCATCCTAACTGCCAGCATGGCTTGGTGGCACAGGGTATGGCTATGCTGGGCATCAAGCTGGGGTGACCACAGAGCCACATCTTTGCTAAAGGATGGGGAAGCGCAGCAGAGCTGCAAAGTCCCACAGTAAAAGCAGCTCTGGGCTTCAATAAAACGCTCCTATGGAAGTTTTATGGCTGAGAGCAATCCCTGAGTGGAGTGAATTAGGGCTGGGGCGTCCCTGCTGGCTGCACATCAAAGCCCTGCTGGCTCCCTGCGCCGGGTACCTCCATCAAAGGGCCCTAATGGGGAACACATGGCTCTGCACCACTCCCTGCGTGCCATGCGGGGTCCCCTCAGCTTTTGGGATGGGTCCTTAAAGGGGGTGTGGGGAGGCAGCTCTGGGAGTGACTTCCTGGGAAAAGTGGGGGACGTAGAACTGGGAATGACCTCTGGAGCAACAACTGGGGTCAGATCATAGAACATTCCCAGTTGGAAGGGATCCCTAACATCCTGAGTGCAAGGAGACAGCAGGATGGCAGCATTAGGATGGCAGCAGGGAAATGGGCTTCCCATTCAGCCAGGGTTTATCCAAGAGACCCCAGGAGTCTGGCAGTGAGTTTCTAACCAAGCCAGTGACACCTTACAGTAGAGAGCACTGCAACGGGGGCTTTCTTGGTATGGTTTGAGCCAACCCTCCCCCACTGAGAACCCAAGGCTCCTGATTGCTGCTGCTTTCCCTCTGCCCAAACTCAGAAGGGGAGTGCAGCCCATCCCCTCCCTTCTCCCAGCCCGGCCACACCGGTTCCTGGAGCTATCTGCAGCTATTCTGGAAGCACAGCTGTGAGCACAGAGGCCGCAGAGTGGGGAGCAGCCAGCAGCCAGCACAGCCCCACAGGGCTCAGGGTGCGAGCTCCAACAAGCCTCAGCTCTGCATTAACAACCCTAATGTGAGCCTTATACCTATAGGGTTTTGTTATACCCCCAGCACAGCCAGCAGCAGACAGAGGGAGGCCACAGATGACTTCTAAAGCAGCCACAGCACAGTGTAGGCACACAGGAGCAAATGATGGAAGACAGAACCCAACAGCATCACTTGGGCAGCCCCATCCCTCTTCCCTCAGCCTGGCTGTGGGTCCCAAGCTCTGGCTACTGCTGGAAGGCAGTGATGTCAGATCACGAATGGAGAGCAGCACCACAGTCAGCCAGGAGAGCACACCCCAGTGCAAGAAAACAAACAGTGAGGCCCAACCCCACTGACATCCTAAGCTCCCACGCTTGCCCGGGTCACAGCTTTGTGCTGCTGCCATCCACCCACGCTCAGCACTGCAGGGTGAGCCTTCCTATGCAGGTCAGTTCTGCAACAATGGGATTTTGATTTGGCCCTTGGGGAGTCCAAACGACAAGCATTCATTGAGTAGCTGAAGCAGAGCCGGATGATGCGTTCATGAAAAAATGACAAACCTTTGGTTGTCTGCTTTGATGAGAATTCTGAATTTCAGCGTTTTTTCCCACTGGCTGAGGCAGGATTCATTTCCCTTTCCATGGAAAAAATGATGGGGTGAGCAACCCCACTGCAGAGCGAAAGCCAATGCCTTGCCAGTAGGTGTGTGGCAGGGCAATGCAGACAGCCATGGGCACAGCCATGGTGGGGTTCCTTCTCAGAAAGAGTGGGCACAGAAGTGGTGGTCACTGTCCCCAGAAGTGTTCAGAACTGTGGAGATGTGGCACTGAGGGATGTAGGCATGGTGGGGGTGGGCTGGGGTTGGATTCAGTGATCTTGGAGGTTGCTCTTCCCAACTTGGATGACTCAACGACAACGCAGGCACTGAGCAGCCAGGAGCAGGGATGTGGTCCTACAAGGGGCTGTGCAGGCACCCCAGCTGACTTCCCAGCTCAGGAGAACCCTGTGAGTTGTGCAGGAAAGGTGGTGACTGCAATGGTTACCTCTGAGTTAGAGCACACCGGAGGATGGGAGCTTAAC